TGAGACAGAGTCTCCCTGGAGCCCCAGCTGGCCTGGAACTCACTATGTAGACCAAGGTGGCCTCAAACCCACAGAGATCTGCCTACCTCTGCCTCCCAAGTGCTGGGATTAAAGGCATGTGTCACCATGCCCAGCTTATTTATTATTTTTATATCGTGTGTTTGAGTGTACACCCGTGTTGTGTGATGCCCGCAGAGGTCAGAAGAGGGCGTCATATCCCCTGAAACTGGAGTTTCAGACAGTTGTTAGCCACCATGTGGGTTCTGGGAATCGAACCCAGGTCCTCTACAAGAGCACATAGTGCTCTTAATCGCTGAGCCATCTCTCCAGCCCTGTTTTTAGAGATTATGTTAAAGTGATGGAAAGCTACAAGTAAGAAGTAAAAAGAGCCAGGCGTGGTGTCACATGCCTTTAATCCCAGCACTGGGGAAGCAGAGGCAGGCGGATCTCTGTGACTTCAAGGCCAGCCTGGTCTACATAGTGAGTTCCAGGCCAGCTGGGGCTACAGGGAAACCCTGTCTCAAAAGGACCAAAAAAAAAAAATTGTTGGGCATGGTGGTGCATACCCTTAGTCCAAGCTTGAGAGAGAGGCAGGAGAATTTCTGCATGGCCAGTCTGGTCTGTATATGAAGTTCCAGGTTAGCCAGGGATGCTACATAGCAAGATCCAGTCTAAACACACACACACACACACACACACACACAAAGTAAAAACATGAAAGGATAAGGCTGAGAGAAAGAGGAAAGAACATGGAAATAAGAGCACAGGAATATGAGATGTTGGTGAATAGTAAAGAATGCCTTATGGAGACTGGGTGGAGAAACATCTAGAACAACACTATTATCTGAGCAATATACAAACAAAAGCAAAACCATATGACACACACATGCAAGAGTGGAGATTAAATAATAGAAAAGGCCGGGCGTGGTGGTCCATGCCTTTAACCTCAGCACTTGGGAGGCAGAGGCAGGCGGATCTCTGTGAGTTCAAGGCCAGCCTGGTCTGCATAGTGAGTTCCAGGACACCTGGGGCTACAGAGAGATCCTGTCTCAAAAAGACCAAAAAATAAATAAAAAAGAAAAGAAGAAATAAAATGAATATTTATGGAATAAATTGCCAGCACAGCTGCACTGAGTCAAAAGGTAAAGTTCTCAGCTACCTCTGGTTCAAGTAGGCTCCACTTGGTGTGGTGGGGTGGGGGTGGGGCTTGTAATTAGGAGTTGTTGGTCTCTGCAGTCTGTGTTCTAGGAGGGTCTGACATGTGGGGGAGGGGAGGTTGTAAGTCCTCTGCTAAGTAGTGCCCCTCTGAGGAATAAATATACTGCTCACCCCCCCCCCCAGTTTCTATAGATTTCCCCCCAGGGAACTTGACTGAGCCAGAGAACTTGCACATGGGCTTTCTCAGCTCTCCTACCTGCTTTCCCACTGATAGCTCTCCTGGCTTAATAAGTTCCCACAGCCAGGTCTTGAAGAGCCCACAGGCCATCAGGTGGAACACAGGGGCATTCCTATTCACTGAAATGCACATGGGTACTGAACCAGGCCTCTGCAGTACTTGCCCCACTCTGCTTTATGGATGCAATTTGGACTGAGCCCTGAATTAGCTTACTGGGCTGTCTTTGCAACCATGGCAGGTGTGATGATTAATCTCAATCGTGAACTTCATGAGATCTAGACTCACCCCTGAAACAGGCCTCAAAGCTTGCTTGTGGAGGACTGTCTTGATTAGGTTAACTGAGGTGGGAAGACCAGCCCACTGTGAGTGACACCATTCCATTAGTCTGGATCCTGGACTGTATAAAAAGGAGAAAATGAGGGGCTGGAGGGATAGCTCAGTGGTTAAGAGCACTGACTGCTCCTGCAGAGAATCCAGCACCCACATGGCCGCTAACATCCATAATTCCATTTCCAAGGGATCCAACGCCCTCTTCTGGCCTCCACAGGCATTGTGGCATTGCACAACATGGGTGCACTTACACACATACAGGCAATGCACTCATACACATAAAAATTTTTTTTAAATGAAATATAATTTTTTTAAAAAAAGAGAATGCCCGGCGTGGTGGCCCACACCTTTAATCCCAACACCGGGGAGGCAGAGGCAGGCGTATCTCTGTGAGTTCAAGGCCAGCCTGGTCTACATAGTGAGTTCCAGGACAGCTGGTGCTACTGGGTGACCTGGTCTCAAAAAGACAGAAAAAAAAAAAAGGAGCAAATGAGCTAAGTACAGACACACAGGCATTCCTCTGCTTCTTGTTGTGGGTGTATGACCAGTGGCTTCAAGCTCCTGCCACTTTGATTTCCCTGACATGAGAACTGTATCTTTGAACTGCAAACCAAAATAAACCTTTCTCCATTAAGTTGTTTTTGTCAGGATATTTTATCATAGCAACAGAAAATAAATAAATAACACAGTAGGCTATACACATCTGTGCTAACCTGCACTAGGATCTTTATTACAGTAGGACAGGCTCTGAGGGAGGCAGAAAGGGAGGTGGTGAGGGAGGAAGTAAGAAAGGCTGAGACTGAGAAGGTGGTAAGGGGTTGGTTGACTTTGTTTTCCGTTGTGAGAATTTTCCTTTAGTGGGGTCAAAGGGCTGGTGAAGCTCAGGAAGATGTCCTCCAGAGAGACCTGGTTGATTGAGTAGTCCTCTAACTTGTAATCCTTTTTGGCTTGCTCCATAATGCCAAACACCTGTAGAAGAGGGACGCCAGGTACTGCACAGAGGTTCACCCAGAGGTGAAGTGACATATGTAGGGAAAGGTGATACAGGAAAGGTGCAGAGAAGGCCAGATTCTGAGCTTGTGACAAGGCTCCCAAGGGCTGAGAGCTCTTAGCTACTACCGGGTACCTTTCAAGGAATCAAAACTGTAGAACTCAGCTGTCTGCTCTTGTGGTAGGGAATGGGGCCAGAAAGACTGGCCTCAAGCTGGGTCTCTGACTTGTTATAGAACCCTGGGCATGTGGCATTCTCTCTAGGCCCGCTCCCTGTTCTGTAAAACCTGAGGAGGGGAAGAGCTGACTTCTGAGGGCCCTTCTGTCACAGACATTCATGTTTTATGAATTCCACATGAGCACTGCCATGGTTGGCAGAGAATGCATGAATTCTCTATTCTATTTCTAGAAAGTGGGTGGAATAAGAAGTGCACTCACCTTTGCCCAACTGAGGTTATGACCAGGCAGGTGGTACTGAATCAAACCTTGGTGCTCATCTTCCAGGTTGCTGCCTGCACAAAATTGAGACTGTGTTCCTGTGAAGGTTAGACTGGAGTGCTAGAGAGGGCAGTCTGAATGCCAAGAATCCACGGGGATAAGCATATATGTAGACTGTGTACAGTACCTAACAGGCCCAGAGAGGGACCCAGGGCCTATCCAGCACCAGCACACACCTGGGAAGGTCAGGTCCACAAATGCCTTGAACTCCTCTAGCACCTCGTGCTGCCATTGCCTCTGGACCTTGGCCTGCAGGGAGTAGCTGCTGCTAAACTTGCTCTTGAGGTGTTGTAGACTGCCCAGGCACTTGAACTGACCCTGCACCATGATGGCCAGCCGGGTACACAAGGCCTCACACTCCTCCATGCTAGGGAAAAGGATACAGACCTGAGACAAGGCTAGGGGAGGGTGATACCCACCCTAAGTATGAAAGGCTTATGCAGACAGGAGGGTATCTGTGCCCAGATTAGACCATTCCTGATTTCCTGTGCTTAGTGTGGCCCCCACACAGAGCCTGAGAAATCACCTGGCAGACTTTGTACTAGCTGTTGACATGTTTTCTGCTCACTTCATCCCACACAAGCCATCCATTCCAGCTCTTCTACTGACCCACAGAGACTCAGGCTCACCTGTGGGAAGTGATGACAATGGCTTTTCCAGACTCACGAACCCGTCCCACAGTGACCCACAGCAGGTGCCGAGCCACGGGGTCCATGCCAGTGAATGGTTCGTCTAGGAAGATGACTGCAGGCTCTCCAATGAGGGCAATGCCGGTACTCAGCTTGCGCTTCTTGCCACCACTGGGGGCGAATGAGGGTAAAAGTGGGGACATACATGGACAATGGTAACTGTAATTTTCAGTAGTGAAGCCTATTGGTTCAGCACCTATCTCTTTCCTTCTCTGAGAGATACTCCATACTCTGGTAGGGCTTTCAAAAACACAGCCTAACCATCTTCACCCAGGTAGAATTGTGACTCCACTGTCTAAATGCTTGCCCTGGATGTCCATGGTGAGCATGTGATCATGAGATTCTTCAGGGGTCTCTATGGGTGCTGGGAGAGGGGCACTTCTACATCTAAGAGACAGGACCATTTTAGCTAACTTTTTTTTAAAGATACTATAGTGGGGCTGGAGAGATGGCTTAGCGGTTAAGATCACTGACTGCTCTTGCAGAGGACCTGGGTTCAATTCCCAGCACCCACATGGCAGCTACGAACCATCCTTAACTCCAGTTCCAGGGGAATGAGAAGCCCTCTTCTGACCTCTGAGGAATTGCACGAGATGGGTGCACTCTCATACATGCAGGCGATATACACATAAAATAATAAATAAAATTTTAAAATTATTTTTTTAAAAAAAGATACTGTAGCACACCTTTAATATCATCACTTGGGAGGCAGAGACAGGCTGATCTCTGTGAGTTCAAGGTCAGCCTGGTCTACATAGCAAGTTCCAGGCCACCTGGAGGCTACAGGAGACCATGTCCCAGGTCTCAGAAACACCAAAAATAAACAAATAAATGAATAAATTGGCCTTGAGTTCTCCACCCCCTCACCTCAGCCTCTTAAGAAGTGTGCACTACCATACTGA